CAAGTTCCGTGAATGAAGTTTTCCTCTAGAACGAGTTTTATTGAATTTTGTGTTTTCTATTGGTTTCTCTTTTGGTAGAAATAAGAAAACTATTTTATGTCTTGTTTCATAGGTCTTCATACAAACTAACAGAGGACAGGACTTATACTTTCTTGAAATTATAATGTGCCTAGGTTTATTTAGATGCCACCTGAATTGAGGTGCTGTTTTTTTTCTCTGTGAAGTTTTTCTATCAGAAAATTCCTTCAAACCTGTTTTTTAAGGATCTTGAATTTAATTTAAAGCTTTTTCTATCATCTTTGGGATGTTTATTATGTTGCTTCTTTAAGGTTTTCAATTTTTTTTACAGGGTTGTTCGATGACTATTTCAGTATGCTTTAAAGAGGGTGAAAAATCTCTGGAGAGTGTTGAATTTGAAGAGAGCCTTATCGAAAAGGAGAAGACAGTGATCAAAAGAGAGCTGTAAATTTGGTGTTTTTTGAAGACTTGCTGTTTCTCTTATTCAACCAAAAGGAGGAGAGATAATTTGTTTGCAAGTGCTTACAGTCAGGACTTTGTCTAATTGCAGAAGAGCAAATCATGAAGGTGTTTCGTTGCTGTTTTATCTGATTGTACGTCTTAGCAAAGTTGATTGATGAAGTTGCAGGCTGGAAATGAGTTATGAGTTAAAAGCCCTTTCTCTTGCTTGGCTGATCAAAGAAACAGAGTAAGTGTTTTTTTACTCTTTGAAACAAGTTCCGTGAATGAAGTTTTCCTTTAGAACGAGTTTTATTGAATTTTGTGTTTTCTATTGGTTTCTCTTTCGGTTGAAATGAGAAAACTATTTTATATTATGTTTCTAAGCTCTTCATGTAAATTAAAAGAGGACAGGACTTCTATTTAATTGAAATTATAATGAGCCTCAGTTTATTTAGATGCCCACCTGATTGAGGTGCTGTTTTATGTTTTTTCTCTGTGAAGTTTTTCTATCAGAAAATTCCTTCAAACTGTTTCTCAAGGATCTTGAATTTAATTTAAAGCTTTTTCTATCATCTTTGGGCTGTTTATATGTTTGTTTGGTAAGGTTTTTTATTTATTTTCTACAGGATTGTTCGATGACTATTTCAGTATGCTTTAAAGAGGGTGAAAAATCTCTGGAGAGTGTTGAATTTGAAGAGAGCCTTATCGAAAAGGAGAAGACAGTGATCAAAAGAGAGCTGTAAATTTTGTGTTTTTTGAAGACTTGCTGTTTCTCTTATTCAACCAAAAGGAGGAGAGATAATTTGTTTGCAAGTGCTTACAGTCAGGACTTTGGCTAATTGCAGAAGAGCAAATCATGAAGGTGTTTTGTTGCTGTTTTATCTGATTGTACGTCTTAGCAAAGTTGATTGATGAAGTTGCAGGCTGGAAATGAGTTATGAGTTAAAAGCCCTTTCTCTTGCTTGGCTGATCAAAGAAACAGAGTAAGTGATTTTTACTGTTTGAAACAAGTTCCGTGAATGAAATTTTCCTCTATAACGACTTTAATTGGATTTTGTGTTTCCTATTGGTTTCTCTTTTGGTAGAAACAAGAAAACTATTTTATGTCTTGTTTCATAGCTCTTCATGTAAATTAAAAGAGGACAGGACTTCTATTTAATTGAAATTATAATGAGCCTCAGTTTATTTAGATGCCACCTGAATTGAGGTGCTGTTTTTTTCTCTGTGAAGTTTTTCTATCAGCAATTCCATCAAACCTGTTTCTTAAGGATCTTGAATTTAATTTAAAGCCTTTTCTATCATCGTTGGGCTGTTTATATGTTTGTTTTTAAGGTTTTTTATTTTTATTTTTAACAGGATTGTTTGAAGCCTATTTCAGTATGCTTTAAAGTGGGTGAAAAATCTCTGGAGAGTGTTGAATTTGAAGAGAGCCTTATCGAAAGGGAGAAGACAGTGATCAAAAGAGAGCTGTAAATTTTGTGTTTTTTGAAGACTTGCTGTTTCTCTTATTCAACCAAAAGGAGGAGAGATATTTTGTTTGCAAGAGCTTACAGTCAGGACTTTGGCTAATTGCAGAAAAGCAAATCATGAAGGTGTTTTGTTGCTCTTTTATCTGATTGTACGTCTTACCAAAGTTGATTGATGAAGTTGCAGGCTGGAAATGAGTTATGAGTTAAAAGCCCTTTCTCTTACTTGGCTGATCAAAGAAACAGAGTAAGTGTTTTTTTACTGTTTGAAACAAGTTCCGTGAATGAAGTTTTCTTCTAGAACGAGTTTTATTGAATTTTGTGTTTTCTATTGGTTTCTCTTTTGGTAGAAATAAGAAAACTATTTTATGTCTTGTTTCATAGCTCTTCATACAAACTAACAGAGGACAGGACTTATACTTTCTTGAAATTATAATGTGCCTAGGTTTATTTAGATGCCACCTGAATTTAGGTGCTGTTTTTTCTTTGTGAAGTTTTTCTATCAGCAATTCCTTCAAACTGTTTCTCAAGGATCTTGAATTTAATTTAAAGCTTTTTCTATCATCTTTGGGCTGTTTATATGTTTGTTTGGTAAGGTTTTTTATTTATTTTCTACAGGATTGTTCGATGACTATTTCAGTATGCTTTAAAGAGGGTGAAAAATCTCTGGAGAGTGTTGAATTTGAAGAGAGCCTTATCGAAAAGGAGAAGACAGTGATCAAAAGAGAGCTGTAAATTTTGTGTTTTTTGAAGACTTGCTGTTTCTCTTATTCAACCAAAAGGAGGAGAGATAATTTGTTTGCAAGTGCTTACAGTCAGGACTTTGGCTAATTGCAGAAGAGCAAATCATGAAGGTGTTTTGTTGCTCTTTTATCTGATTGTACGTCTTACCAAAGTTGATTGATGAAGTTGCAGGCTGGAAATGAGTTATGAGTTAAAAGCCCTTTCTCTTGCTTGGCTGATCAAAGAAACAGAGTAAGTGATTTTTACTGTTAGAAACAAGTTCCGTGAATGAAGTTTTCCTCTAGAACGACTTCTATTGAATTTTGTGTTTTCTATTGGTTTCTCTTTTGGTAGAAACAAGAAAACTATTTTATGTCTTGTTTCAAAGCTCTTCATACAAACTAACAGAGGACAGGACTTATACTTTCTTGAAATTATTTAGATGCTACCTGAATTGAGATTCTATTTTTTCTCTGTGAATTGTTTTTCTCTTTCAGGACTTTCTTCAAACTTTTTTTATGGAATCTTTTATTTAATTGAAAGCTTTTTTTTATCTTATTCAGGCTATTTAAATTTTTTGTTCTTGTTTCAATTTTTTGCAGGATTGTTCGATTTTTTTTTCAGTATGCTTGAAATCTCTGGAAGTTTTTAAATTTAAAGGGGATTTTTGCCTAGAGTTGGAAGCAGTGACCAAATGAAAGCTGCATATCTTTTGTCATTGTACGACTTACTGATTCATTCCATTTGGTAGGGATTCACAGCCTTGATGTTGTCTGACTGCATAAGTGAAAATCATGGGAAGGTCTTTTTATGAAGATCCTTTGATCGAGTGTGAACTTGAAATAAACATCTAAATAGTCTTTATTACCTTTTTTTCAGTAAGAAATTTTGTTGTCATAAATTTAGTTTGATACTAAAAGTAGAAGTCAAAATTTTATCTAAAAGTCTTATTCAAGTATTAGCAAGTATTTCGTAAAATGAGAAGAGGAGTAGTTACTACACTCAACAACTCTCGTTCGAAAAAGAATTGAAGAATTGTTAGACCCCCTTTGCCCTTAGGTCTCTGCCTTGTCATAGAAGCATTGACAAATTTTTGTAAGAATGTTAATTATACAAAAATTCTGCAAATTAAGAATCAACAGTGTTTCTTTCAATTTTTGATACAGCTCATCACACTAGCTTTGATCTGTCTTTTGGCAGCTTATGCAGTTCTTTTATACTAATTACACAATTTTTAGACAATGAATCGAATATAATTACATATAGAAAATATGGATGGGATCTCTAATTTAAATTTCGAGAGATAGTTTTTAGATAGATTGAAAGCAATGTCCTAATTATAGATTATTTCTAGGTACACAAAATTAGTTGTTTCATTTGAAGATCGTTTAGCCCCCCACTCCTCCTCCCCAGTTGCAGCTTGCAATAAACATAGACTGTATTTTTCACAGAAATACTCGCAGTTACGCAGCTAAAAGACTACCTGACCTCATTAACGGTAAGTGAATTTTCTATATATCTTTTCATATTTTGAATACTTGTTTATAGAACCTATTTAACATGAGTAAAATCCAGACCTTTTTTCTTGGGATTTTTCATACTTTCTGTCATTGTAACACACTTTAATTCACACCGTTAAATAATGTTTCAATTTATCTTAATTTAGCAACAAATCATTTGCTCATTTCTATAAAATATAAATATTTGCAGTAAAACATTTATGGCTTTTCTTGTGTCTCTGAATCTCTGTCAGGTTGCTCGATTGGATGTTACAACCATAATAGGCCAGTTTTGTGTTTTCCTGCTTTTTAACTCATTTTCAATTTCTGTAGGAAATAACGAATAAACAAGACATAATGCGCGCAAGGTATGTTGGGTAACGCTTTGCATTTATAATCTTATAGTTCAATTTTTGTCAGCTATAACATCACCGAAAAGGGCTTCTTTTTAACTCAAAAGTGTTGTCAATTATTGGTCTTATATCAAAATAGCCCCTTGGATGCCAAAATCGATTACGTTTTTACCTTTTGTTCCTTGGTTGCATCTATTAGTTAGACTTTTAATCTTATTGAAGATTTATATCAGGCTTATCTACGATACAATATAATGATAAATATACTTCTTAACAAAAAAGTGCCAGGACTCTGCCACATCTTTTCTATACCACCCCTACAAATTTCTTGACACAATGTCCTAGTTTTGTGAGTTATGGGTTCTTTCTTTCCTTTGCAGTATAAGAGTTGAGC